ATCATATATCTGATAAGGAATTAATATCCAGAACATATAGAGATATTTGCTCATCCACGTTCATTACATCAATATTTACAACAGCAAAGAGGTGATGAATGTCCATTGACAGATGAATGTAGTATATATATATAAAGAAATAAAATGTAGCATATACATAAAATAGAATATTATTAAGCCTGGGGCACCTGGGTGGCTCGGGAGGCTAAGTGTGCAACTCTTGATTTCGGGTCAGGTTGTGATCCCAGGGTCCTGGGATGGAGCCCTGCATCGGACTCTGCACTCAGCAGGAATTCTACTACAAGATTTCTGTCCCTCTTCCTCTGCCCCTCCCCTCCTCAAACAAATAAATAAATCTTTAAAAAAAAAGAATATTATTAAGCCTTTATAAAGAGGGTAATCCTGTCACATGCTACAATAAAGATGAACCTTGAAATTATGCTAAATGAAATAAGCCAGTCACAAAAAGACCAATACTATATGACTCTACTCATATGAGATATCTAAAGTATTCAAATTCATAGAAACAGAAAGTAGAATGGTTCTTGCCAGGGGCTGGGGGAAAGGAGAAATAGGAAGTTGGTGTTCAATGGGTGTAAAGTTTCTGTTTTGCATAATGAAAAAGTTCTAGAGATCTGTTAAACAACAATGTAAAGATACTTAAAAATGGTTAAGGTGGTAAATTACAAATGTTTGTGATTGTCCAAATACCCTAAATGGTCTCATTGATTGGTTTTACAAGTAAATGTTATAATACAAATTTATAAAATAAGTATTTTTAAAAGATAATTGACTATTTGGTTAAGTGTCTGACTCTTGATTTTCTCAGGTCATGATCTCAGGTGCCTGAGATTGAGCCCTGCAATGGGGTCCGCACTCAGTGCAGAGTCTGCTGAATAGTCTCTCTCTCCCTCTCCCCCTGCTCCTCTCCTGACTCGCACTTTCTCCCAAATTATTAAATAAAATCTTTTAAGATAAAGATAATTGGGGTGCCTGAGTGGCTCAGTTGGTTAAGCGACTGCCTTCGGCTCAGGTCATGATCCCGGAGTCCTGGGATCGAGTCCCACATCGGGCTCCCGGCTCAGAGGGGAGCCTGCTTCTCCCTCTGACCCTATCCCCTCTCATGCTGTTTCTCTCTCTCTCAAAAAAAAAAAATTAAAAAAAATAAATAAAATAAAATAAAGATAATTGACTATTTAAACAACAATGATAACAATTTTTACAGAGTTTACAACATCTAAAAGTAAAATATATGTCGACAATTATATAATGGCTGAGGGGAGAAATGGAAGTTTCTTAAACTATACATAAAGAGGTATATTATCTCTTGAAGGTAGCGCATGATAAGTTAAAGACATATACTGTAATCACTAAAGTGACCACTAAAATAGCAAAACAAAGAAATATTGCTAACCTTCATGATAAAAGCACTCAACAGATTAGGAATAGAAGAGAACTTTTCAACCTGATAAATGACATCTATAAAAACCCAAAACTAACATCATACTTAGTGGTGAAAGACTGAATGCTTTCCATCTAAGATCAAGTCAAGACAAGGATGTCTGTTCTCACCACTTCTATTAAACATTGTACTGGAGGTTCTAGCCAGAAAATAAAATAAAAGGCATCCAGATTGGAAAAGAAGTGAAAGTATCACTATTTGCAGATGACATGCTCTTGTATATAGAAAATCATAAGGAATTCACTGAAAAAACTATTAAGACTAATGAGTTCAGCAACACTCCAGAATATAAGATCAATAGACAAGAAACCAATTATATTTCTAAAAGGACCAATGAGCAAACTGAAAATTAAGTTAAAAAACAATTTTATGTACAAAACTATCAAAAAGAATAAAATACTTTGGAATAAACTTAACAAAAGTGCAAAACTTTTGCTCTGAGAACTACAAAACATTATTGAAAGAAATTAAAGAGGCACTAAATAAATGGAAAGACATCTTATGTTCATGGATCAAAACACTTATTGTTAAGATGATAACATTCTCCACATTGATCTACGGATTCAGTGCAATCTCTTTCAAAATTCCAGGTAACTTCTTTATAAAAATCAATAAGCTGATCTGAAAATTCATATGGAAATGCAAGGAACCCAGAAGAGCCAAAACAGTCTTAAAAAAGAAGAGAGTTGGAGGCCTCACACTTTCTGATTTCAAAACTGACTAGAAAACTGTTAATCAAGACATGTGGTACTGGCATAAGGATAGACATATAGATCAATGGAATAAAATTGAGAATCCAGAAATAAACCCTCACATTTATGGGCCATTGACTTTTGACAGGGGTGTCAACACAATTCAGTGGAGGAAAAAACAGTCTTTTCAACAAATGGTGCTGGGAAAACTGGATATCCACATGCAAAAAAATAAAGTTAGATTCATACATCACACTGTAATGGGATACAAAAATTAACTCAAAATGGTCAAAGACTTAAATGTAAGAGCTAAAACTATAAAATTTTTAGAAGAAAGCATATAAGGGGAAAAAATCTTCATGATATTGGATTTGGCAGTGGTTTCTTGGATGTGACACCAAAAGCAAAAGCATTAAATGGAAAAACAGATAAATGAGACTACATCAAAATTAAAACTTATTGAAATCAAAGGACATTATCAATAAAATGAAAAGGCAGCCCATGGAATAGGAGAAATATTTACAAGTCATACATCTGATAAGACATTAAAACTCAAAATATATAAAGAACTCCTACAACTCAACAACAAATAATCCAACAAGCAATATACTTGAATAGACATCTCTTCAAAGAAGATATACAGATATCCTATAAGCATATGAAAAGATGTTCAACATCACAGCCATTGGAGAAATGCAAATCAAAACCACAAAGAGATACCACTTCATACTAACTAGGATAGTTGGCTATTATTATTATTATTTTTAAAAAAGGAAAGTAACAAGTGTTGGTAGGGACATAGAGAAACTGGAACCCTTGTACATTGCTGTTGGGAATGTAAAATGGTGTAAACACTTGAAAAAGTTTGATGGTTCCTTTAAAAGTTAAACATGGAATTGCCACATGATCCAAAAATTCCATTTTTAGGTATGTACTCAAAAGAATTGAAAGCAGGAACTCAAATAGGTAACTTGTATGTCAGTGCTCATTGTTGCATTATTGGAAACCGGCAAAGGTGGAAACAACTCAAACATCCATCAACAGATGAATAAGGAAATGTGGTATGTCCACACAATGGAATACTATTCAACTTTAAAAGAATGCAGTTCTTATATATGCTATGACATAGATGAACTTTAAAAACATTATGCTAAGTGAGGTGCCTGGGTGGCTCAGTCTGTTAGGCATCCGCTCTTGGTTTCAGCTCAGGTCATGATCTCATGGGTTGTGGGATGGAGCTCCATGTCTAGCTCCATGCTCAAGGGGGAGTCAGCTTGAAAGATTCTCTCCCTCTGCCCCTCCCCCCCACTCTCTCTCTCTTAAATAAATAATCTTTAAAAAAAATTATGCTAAGTGTAATAAGCCAGACACAAAAGGTAAAATACTGTATGATTCCACTTATATGAGGTACCTAAAGTAGCCAAATTCATAGAGACAGGAACTAGAATAGAGGTTATCAGGGGTTAGGAGAGGGGGAAATTGGGAATTATTATTTAATGGGTACAGAGTTTCTATTTGGGATAATGAAAAAGTTCTAGAAATGGAGAGTGGTAATGGCTGTATGAGTATACTTAATGCTATTGAACTGTATGCTTAAAAATGGTTAAATTTTATGTGTATTTTACCACAATAAAAATAAAGCAGTTAGACCCTCAAATTCCCCATTCTGAGCAGCTAGATGGCTGATAATGAAGGAGAACTAAATCCTTATCTTTCAAAGTAGGAAATCAACTTATGATACCTAAGATTGAAAACATAACACATCAAAATAAACATTTTGCTATATGGTCGTAAATACTCAATTATCAGGCCAGAGGTGTGAAAGAGGTTGCTTCGGCGGTGAAATGGAGGCAGATGGGGTTGCCTGTATTTGGTTACAAGTTTGTAGAACCATAACCCTCTGTAAAATAATGCATTTAACCTTTATAAAATTAACAACACGCCACAATTTGTTAATGACTGCAAAAACAAACAAGAGCAACCTCCTGCTCCAAATCTCTAGATTTCCCCACTTGCTATTCAAATCAAACTTTTCTGAATTTGATTTTCTCATCTGTAAAATTAGTTATTAGATATAGATTGAAATAGATCATGAATACAAAAGTGCTTGAAAACAAGAGTTGTTTAAAAACAGCTTGATCAGGGATGCCTGGTGGCTCAGTCGTTAAGCGCCTGCCTTCGGATCTGATCATGATCCCAGAGTTCTGGGATCGAGTCCCTTATCGGGCTCCCTGCTTCTCCCTCTGCCTGCTTCTCCCTCTGCCTGCTGCTCCCCCTGCTTACACACACTCTCTCTCTCTGACAAATAAATAAATACAAAACCTTGATCCAAAAGTTTGGGATCCTCAGCATTCACTTATTAGATCACGTTGTGTGTAGAAGGGAGTGGGACACGAGGAGCACAACGCTGTGTGGAACTAGCGACCTTACCTTGCACTCACCTGTCTAGTACCTGCTCCCACCTCTACCTGTACCAGGTGGTGATCTATTCTTGGGCCATGTGACCTCGGACAATTTCCGTAGCTTTTCTGAATCTCGGTTTCCCTACCTGGGAATAGCAAAACTACTCCTGCGCCGTTGGAGTGAGAAACGACCTTGAGATTGGGCTGTTTGGGCCGGGGGCGGGGGGTAATTTAAGGGGGAGAGGGGTGATCGCAGCTCCCTACCTTCAGCTCCATCCCGGGCGCGCGGGACCCCTGGGGCCTGGGAGCCGCAAGCTGCGAGCGCCAGGGTAAGCGAGGATCCGCAGTTACTATGGCAACCGGCGACGCCGGGCGTTCCCAGGCAGCCCGCGGCGGAGCTGAGAACGCCAGCGGGCCCCCGGCTGCGAAGAAGACCCCCGCGGCATGAGGCGGGAAGAAGCGGTGGTGGTGAGCGCGGTGGCGGTGCCGGAGGCGGGCGGAGACCAGGAGCAGCCTCGGCCGCCTGCCGGGCTGGGGTGCGGGGCGCGCGGGGAGCTCGGCGGCGGCGGCCCCCAGGAGTCTTGCAAACAGTGTGAGTTCCCCTCCGGTCGCGCACCGTGCGCGCAGGGACGTGGGGCGTGTCGAACGCGTGGAAGGGGAAGCGGGGGAACCGGAGTGAGACTCGCTGAAGGTGTTGGAGGGAAGGGACAGAGCTGCAGTTTTGGCAAAGGCAGAGGTGGTGATGACGCTGGGGCAGAAAGCACCCACCCGGTCCATTTCCCCAAAGCCGCCTTCACCAAAGGCTGCCTGAGCCCAGGTAGCCTCCAACCTGATAGGTAGTGGCATTGACCTGGAAGGTACTGGAAAAAAAAAAAAAGTGTGTGTATGTGTGCGTGTAATTATAAAAATCTAATATATAAATTTGAATTTATATATAATAAAATATAAAATGTATAAACATTTATAATATGCATAAATATATAAATTATATACACACAGAGAGAGAAACATGTGGCTCATTTTTGCCAATTCCTTCATTTTACAGACCAGGAAACTGAGGTTTAGACTGGAGCAGATGAAGTGACTTGCTCACAGTGACTCAGTCAATGCGGGAGAAGTACTTAAAACGCTAAACCTCGCCTGTCTTGGACTCTCAGTTCATCAGTTATTACTACCTGATACTTTTAGAATCTCAGAATGACGGGCCACATTTTAACACAAGGGTTTCCTTCCTTGCCCTGCCAAACACACAAATATTCAAGTGAGTAAAGGCAGTTCTGGTCCAGAGTCACAACCAACATGGCTGAAGCTGGAGTCTGCTCCAGGCCTCTGCGCTCATCCATATTGTTCCATGAATTTATATTTCACAGTCCCTTGTACTCTACAGGTTTTCAGGAAGTGCTAAGGAATGATGATGGGGAAAATAATAGGCCAATGAGGAATGCCCGCAGTTTCTGGCCCTTCTGCATCGCCTCCTTGATTGCCTCTCTAGAGACCAGCCTCAGGTTGTGTAGCCCGGCAGACCCCAGGAGGGAAGGTGTGGCTGAAGCGGCTCAGCCCCCCTGCCTCAGGGGGCCACACAGCCTGCTCCCAGGACTCCTCATCAAGGAGCTGCAGAACCAGTGTCTCCTAGAGAAAGGGCCATTCCCCCATTCCTTTGATTATCAACAGCATGCAGAGGCCTTACTCAGGGCAACTAAATCCAGTATATTTAAGTATTTGGTATATTTAAGTAAGTTCTTACTCCAACTTCAAAATCTGTCTGGGAATTTTCCCATTAAAGATGCTAGAAATGAAAGGTTCTTTAGTCCTCTGGAGTTCTGTAGGAGTAAAAGGTGGAATTAATCATTCACTCATCCATTCAACGAATACTGAATCCTTACTGCATGCCAGGCACTGGGCAAGTTGCGGAAAAGTGAGTGATGAATTAAGGCATGTGTCCAAACTTTGAGGACCTCAGAAAGTCAGGGTCAGGGCATAGAGCACTCTTGCCTCAGCCTCCCAGAGAACCTCCTTTTAGGGCCTCAGCCTGAGTAGAGCCAGGCTATTCACACGCACACGAAGTACCCATTCGATTGTCAAATGTTTTCTGGGAAAGTCTTCTGTCTCTCTGTAGCTTCTACTCTCTAATCATAGATCTGATCTGAAATATACACAGATGAAATATGGGCCTTTCCCAGTAAAACATCCTTGAATTTTATGAAGGTGGCTATTTGAACAGCCACCAAATCCTTCATAGACTTCAGGCTCATCTTTCAAATACTTTGTAGCACTCTCCCCATCCTGGCTAACCTCTTCCAACATTCTCCAGTTTATTAAACCACTGAATCCAGTATTCTAGGTATGATCAGGTTAGGGTAACATGATGGGACTATAACCTCCCTTGATCTGAACGTTCTACTTCTATTAAATGGACCCAGAATCAATTAGCTGTTTTGGCAGGCACATTATATTATTAATAGATATAACAAATGCAGTCTATGACATCCTTAGTTTCTTTTTCCCCTGTTGTCCAATCGAAAACATTTGATCCAGGCTTTTTCTATCTTTTATTTATGCAGTTAATTTGTTTCATCCTAAATACAAGTCATTATATTTATCCCTATCAGTACCATTCTATGAATTTTAGCACTCCATTCCAAGTACAGAAGCAGCCCTTTGAGTCCTAAGTTTGCCATTCAGCAAGTTTGTGCCATTCTCACAATCGGTGAGTAGGCAGTTCCTCTCCATATCCAAATTAGCAAACTAGGTGGTACTTCCAACAGTTCCAAGGAGAGTCTCTGGAATGCCATTCAGCATCTTCGGCGTGGGTGTTCTGCCTCCTACAAATACACTTTATCAAATGCCTTGCTGAAATGCAGATGCATTGTGGCTTTGACATCTTCCTAATCTAGTTAGTTTAGTAACTTGGGTTTGGGGGAGTCAGGTAGGCATGGCTTTTAATTTTTATGACTAGTTTTGTGATTTCTGAGAGTTACTTTTGCAACTATAAAATAGGAATAATTATACCTGCCCATAGAATGATTTTGAAAAAGAGAAATAATATATGTAGGATGCTAATAATATATGTATGGTAGCATTCAATAAATTATAGCAATTGTTATTAGCTCTTAACAAAAGAGAGCAGTTCAATCTGGAATAATATTGTTCTTAGTAGTCCTTAACACTTAGTGATCACTGTTCCTCATTATCTGTACTCAAAGCCACCTGTTGGCTAACCCACTCAAATGTTGGTGAAGATCAACATCAAGCTGCTATGTTAGAGTTTGTAGAATTTTTTTTTCCTTCTTTCCTTCTCTCCTTCCTACTTCTCTCCCCCCTTCCTCCCTCCCTCCCTCCCTCCCTCCCTCCCTTCCTTCCTTCCTTCCTTCCTTCTTTCCTTCTTGGAGCGGGGAATATTTGCCTATACTAAGCTCTTTGCTACTCTAATTTTTCACAGTTCCTCAAAACCTTTAGTGATTTCCTCTGTAAATTCTTACAACAGCAGGGCTGAAATTCGTCAAGAGACTTGAACTTAGAGGAGGTGATCTCTTCTGTTCTACTGAACTGTTACAGGATTTTCTTCCTTCTTAACCATGTTTCTTAAACCCTTTTCTGCCTTAGAATCATGATTTAGCCAAAAAAGTTTAAACCAAAGTTAAGCTTGAGTAAAGCTAACCCCCACCTCGTGTTCATATGTCTCCTAACTTTTGGGAAACAAAAATGAGACACAGAAAGTATCTAATTCTACCTTGTTTGTGTCTGAAGGTGTGTTTGAGTCTTCCTGACCAGGAGTGACCCAGGACCACAGCAGTGGTCTCTTACCCCCTTTGGGCTGGTCAGTACACAAGTCAAAGCTCTTCACTTGCATTCTTTATTGGTTAGTCTGGGAAAGATGAGGCACCTGCCATTGTGAGTTTAAAGTCACATCTTAAATAGCTAAAGTATTGGGTTGGTTAGGTTTTCCATGGTTCCTTGCATTGAGCTTTTGAGTATTAAGACTAGAACTAACCACTGGTTCCCTGACATTCACAAGGCGGCATTGGCATTCATGCACAAGAATAGTCTTTGAGCTCCATCTAATTTAACAATGCTGAGTTCTACTTGAACACACATTTGGTCTATTATTACACCCGATTCTGCTCTAAGACTCTGATGAACTAAACAGAAAACATCCCTGCCCAATGGTATTTATGGTCTGATAAGGAAGACATATATTCAACTAATAGTTGCATAAATAATGGCATATAAAGCAAATGAGGCCATATACAAATTGCAATAAATGAAATGAAGGAAAAGAGGAGAGTCCTATGCTAAAAAAGTATCCAGGAACATTTGAGGATTGTAGAGTCAGGGAAAGCTTCCCCAGAGAACCGACCTTAAGCCTAGGATTGAAATTTGAGTAGAAGTTACCCAGGCAAAAATACTAGGAGAGAGGCAGTTCAGGCACAAAATAGAATGTATATAGGCTTTGATGTGGGAATGGACAGAAGGGCCACGATGAAGCCCAGAAAGCAAGAGAGAGGGGCTGACAGGAGAAACAGGGGTGACAGTGTCAGGTAGCACAGAGCTCTGGGGGGTGAGCAGAAGAAATATTGCTAAGGTACTTAGAACAAATAAGCCAGGCCTCCACAATACCAGTGATGTCCTATAGGGCCAGGCTTAGAGACCAGGAAAAAGTCGTATGTCCATAAGTGATTCACTACTACAATTCACGTTTACCTCTCAAAATGATGACTAAATAAGGCTGAGGTTGTTCTGTGTTATGTAGCTGGATTGTAGGCTCCATGGGCACATCTGTCTTATTCATTGCTTGTCCTCTGTCCCTAGCCCAGCACCTGGCACAGAGTAGGTCCTTAATAAGGATTTATCGAATAAATGAGTTTTCTTGAAGCAAATGAAGGAAACTCTGTATATTTCTTCCTAACACCTAAAACCGGTATCTGAAACTTACCACAAAAGTTCAGGAATTATGTGAAAGTGTAAAGTCCCAAAAGAACCAAAAAGGAATCTTTCCAAAATAGGGTGAATCATCTGCTGTTTGTATGGAGGGATGTGTCTTTTTAAGAAATCGTTATTCATGTAGGTATAATGGCTAGAAAGTTTGGCATAATTTATGATAAATAACCAATTTTATTAATGTCTTTATAGGGAAGAAATTCTTATATTCTGAGCCACATAAGAGAATTAAGGAAGTACTAGAAGAAGAACTTTATATTAAAAGAGATGAGTGCCGCATTAAAAATCCACCTGCAGGTAATCTCCATGACAAATGAAGTATATTTCTGAAATGAATATGAAATTACCTATTTAATGGTAGAATGATTATTTTATTTATTACAAAACCATGACTATCAAAAGAAAAATGGATACTTGGGAAATTCTTGAGCTAATTTTATAATTATTTTGCCTGTGTCCAAATAAGCTTATATTTACAAAAAGTAGCTATAGGTATCAGTATCTACATTGCTATCCCACGTTTTTGGTGGAGTTATTTCTATTCAGTAAGAAGTAGAATTTTTTCCAAGAAAAGCACAGTAATATCTTCAATCTTTATCAATATAGGTGTGACCAGTAACAGTGGTTCCCAAAATTTGGATTTCATCAGAATTACCCGGGAACCTGTTAAAAGCAGATTGCTGGGAACCATCCCTAGAGTCACTGGCTCAGTAGTTCTTGGGAGGGGGGTCAGCAATTTGCATTTCTACCAAGTTCCCAGTTGGTGTTGAGGCTGATGGTCCAGGGACCCAAACTGAAGATCACTGACCCAGAAGAATCGAAGTCATTTAAATAGGTCAAATCATCCAAGGATTTTATTGTATTTACATGAAGTTTATGGGTTAAATGTCTGGGCATTGATAGTTCATTTGAGACAAGATATGGTCTAGAAGCCCAGAATCCCTCACAGATTTTTTTCCATGCCTAGCATGGAGCCCAACATGGGGCTTGAACTCACAACGCTGAGACCAAGACCCAAGCCGAAGTCAAGAGTCAGACGCTTAACCTACTGAGCCACCCAGGCACCGCCCCCTACAGATGTTATTTTGAAACTACTAGAGCCCCTCATTTTCATGATTCCTTCTCAATGATTACAGGTGCACATTTCACGCTTTTCAAATCATCAGTTTTTTATTGCAAACCTCTTAGGCACCAGCATTCCTGAAGAAAGAAAAGAACTGTAACACGTGACTTCTGTACTCAGAGAACTTGACATTTTCTGCAGAGGAGCACTGTTGAATACCCAGCAGCTAGGGCTCAAATTCTCTAAGGATTCCTGAGAGCAGATGCTGCAGGCCTAGAAGTGCATTTTTTTTTCCCCGACTCTGACGTATTTGCCCGCTTTCCATTGCAAAACCAGCCATGCAAACGCATGTTAGGCCTTCTGTATTGCCCATTCTTACAAAAGGAGAGACCAGCAAAATGGCCAATTTTATTCAGACTGTGTCTGGAAGGAAAATATAGAGTTTATTTTGAACTCTGTGAACAGATGCAGAATGACCTACTGAATTGTGTCTCTGAACCCCAGCCTATACGTACTATTCCCCTATTGGTTAGAAAAAAATTTAAGTCTTATACTATTCTATTCTGGGCTTACTTTCATTTATACACTTAAAAATTTATAATTTAGGGGTGCCTGGGTGGCTCAGTCGTTAAGCGTCTGCCTTCGGCTCAGTTCATGATCCCAGGGTCCTGGGATCGAGCCCCGCATCGGGCTCCCTGATCTGCAGGGAAGCCTGCTTCTCCCTCTCCTACTCCCCCTGCTTGTGTTCCCTCTCTCGCTGTCTCTGTCTCTGTTAAATAAATAAATAAAATATTAATAAATAAATAAATAAATTATAAAAATTTATCATTTATATACCAATTAGATGATGTATTATTCTTATTGGATACGCTTGGTTGTTAGACAATCTAAGTGATTATAAAAATTGATTTTTCTAAGCAATCTTTTCAAATGTCCTTCCTATAAAATGGAAATGCTTGGCCTGCGTTTTCATAACATCCACCAGAGGTCACACAGAGGTGCTCTTTTAGCCTTGAAAATCCTTTAAAGCTGAGAGTAGATTCTGTAAGGTTAAGTTTTAAAGGGGCTTTACTTATGGAAAAAAAGCTACTAATTTTTTTTTCTTTTTCTGTTCTTAAAAAAAAATTTAAAAGGCTGAATGCCCCGTGTCCTTGGCCACAGCAGGGAGCTAGCACCTAGAGGGGGTGCCACGCCTCCTGTTTACTCTCAGGGGATTGGCAGCTCTGGGCCAGCCACTGAATTTTCTATTGCAGGATTTTTGGTGACATGGTCCTTTAAATATATGATGGGAGCTGGGGCTTCTCTTTCTGGAGAACACAGCTTGTCACAGACACGCAGAATTCTGCATAAAACTTTTAGGGACTTGTATGTCTCCGACGGCAGCTCTTCCTGGATGTTAAGTACCCTAGACCCATTGTCTCCACTTCTCCACTTATTGTTTACTCCTCCACCCATTGCAAATAGGCTTTGGTTTCCATGAGCCCAGGCAAACTGTTCTTTTCCAGATGGTGAATGACCTTCCTGTTGAAGGTCAAATCCAATGATTTTGAAAGTCTAATACAACCCAGAAACTCATCAAACTCAACTTCTCTGTCGCATCTGACATAATTGTTTACTCCTTCCCTTTGAAAACACTTTGTCAATTTAGCCTCCAGGTCAGCATGCTCAAATCTCCTGGTTTTGCTGGTACAACTCCCTGTCGTCTTTGCTGGCTCTCCCTTCTCCTCACCTCTAAACTTTGGGGAGCTCAGTCACAGGCTCTTCTCTCCATCTATATTCACTCCCTGAGTGATCACATCTAGCCCTGTGTGCTGATGACTCCAAAATTTATATCCCTAGCCTCTGCTTTCCCCCTCAAATCTCAAAAGCCTACTTAACTTCCCACCTGGATGTCTACTAGGCCTCTCACACTGTACATGTCCAGAACAGAACTCTTATTCTATACTGCTCTTCAACAGCTCTTCCCCATCTCAGGAAATGACATCACTATTCACTATGCCAAACACCTAAAAGTCAAATCTTCAAAATTCATGTCCAGTCCCTCAGCTAATCCTGTCAAATCTGTGTTGGAAATACATCCTAAATCTCCCCAACTGCAACCTTGTCCAAGCCCCCATTATCTCTTACAAGCTCAGCAGTAGCATCCTCTAGCACCTTCTACTGCTGTCCCCACAGTCCATTTTCTGCACAGAACCCAAAGGGGTCTCTTACAACATAAGTCATTGTATACCACCTCCATGTTCAAAGCCCTCCGATGGCTCTTTGTGATTCTTAGTCTAGATTTCAGTCCCCTTGTATGGTCTGCTCACCTTTCTGAACTCAGTTCCTATACTTTCCCACCCCACTTTAGCCATACGGGTTTCCTTAATGTTCTGGAACATGCCAAACCCATTTTCACCTCAGAACCTTTCTACTTCCCCTGTCTTTCTCCCTCTTCCTTCAAGTTTCAGCTCAAATGTCATCTTCTCAGAAGTAACCTCTCTACCAGATTAAAGTAGAAACTACCTAGTCTCCCAATTACTCTAATCTTTTATACCACTTTCTTCTTTCTGCCTTTTTTTAATCACTACTTCGAAATTATATATTTGCCTGTATACTTCGTTATTGACTATCTGTCTCACAAGAACATAAGCTACATGAGGACAGGGGCTTTATTTTGCTTACTATGAATCCTTATGAAAGCCATGTGATATAGATATTAAATTCCCATTTTATGGATGAGTAAACTGAGATTTTGAGAGGTTTCTACTGTCCAAGGTTATGTGTTAAGTAAGTGGCAAAACCAGATTCCAAACTCAGGTCTGATCCCAAATCCCATTGGCATTCTGTGCACTATAGTGTTTCCAGTGACATATTATGACCAAGTCCTGTGGGTCCTGTTCTGCCCTTGGCTGGCTTGAGATTTCTGCACTACTTGACATAATTGATGGTTCTCCTTAAACTTTGTTTTTTCCTCAAATTCCTTGACACTAAATATCCTTGTTCTCTTCTTTGGATATTCCTTCTCATCCTCCATTGAGAACTTCTTTTCACTCACCTTCATCCCCAAATATTGATGCCTACCAGGGTGTTACCCACAGTCTCCTAATCTTGCTCCGTTGGCTCTCCCTGGATCATCTCAGCCATTCGCACTGTTTCTACCACTACCTCACTGTGATGTGTCTGTGTCTCAAGTCTCTGTGTCCAGGCTCAATTTCTCTTACTGGATGTCCTATAAGTACTCAAGATCAACATGCCCAAAATGAAACTCATACCTCTCCTCGACTTACTCCTTCCTATATATCACCCATCCAAATGCATGACATGGCATAATGGCCAAGTTCAAAACCACAGAGCCATCCTTCATACCCACTCCAGATTACCATGTCTTGCATTTAATTAGGCTCTCAGGGGTATCTTAGTTTGGCTCAGGATCCCAAACGGTTGACCCCTATGCCAGGCTCATCTTACAAACAAATAGACAAATTTATTTGTTCTGAATTATATTTTTTAAATATATGAATCAGTCGTCAACATTTAATAAATTAGGACTTTTTACATACGAATCTAGATTTCTAGATTATCTTGCGTGAAGAGGGAGGGGAGGAGGAGAAAGAACGATGTGATAGCCAAGTTGACATTCACACATGGCACAGGGACTGGAGTCGGCTTACGCTGCCCTAGCTGGTCTGCCCACGCTGTTACCCATCCACATGAAGGTCCCCAGCCAGGTGGGGCATATCCCAAACTATTCATGTTCACACTTCCACTGCAGACTTCCTCCTCTCATGGTGGAAAGAGGAAAGAATGTGTTTCTCTGGTATCCATGTCTCCAACAAAAGTGGAAAAAGATAAAAGAAGTAGGAGAGCCAATTATTTCTTAGCCCTGGCCTGCTTTACTTACTTATATTACCTGCCTGGCTTTTCTATATATATATTGATTTTGTGACTATAGATAAACAATATATACTATTTTTTCGATATACCCAAGTCTATCTAAATTCTAGGGACCCCAAGGTATAGGCATGTGTCCAAGCGTAAATTTACAGCAATGTATGCATTAACTGGATTTGTTTGAATTTTTAAACTCTCAAGTCCACATTCTCTCACAACAATCTGATGATGAAAATGAGATTTCAGTAAGTGTCCAGACTGGGTTTTTCCTCAACCATTGATAAAGCACCAAAACACTGGGCCCCGTAGCAAAGTATGGGTGAACTTACCGAAGAGCTTATATCATCTATTAGGAGGGGGG